ACATCATCTCTAACATAGCCAGAGTGTCACCCAGCTATGTTTAAGCATCTTCAGGGATGGGAAAATCCCCCACACCCAGCCTTTATCATCCATATCCCAGACCACTCCATGTGACGTCCCACTGGCCCCCAAAGACGCTCCACCCAGCACCCTCTCAGCCAGAGCCATCTGTTCCTGGCCTTACCAGCTCCTGGGCTGCCTCCAGCCTTGCTGACCCCATGGCTCTGGCCTCACTTTTGTTTCAGTCAAGGAGAAATTGACTGCTGACCCTGACAGTGAGGTGGCCACTACGAGTCTCCGGGTGTCACTCATGTGCCCGGTGGGTAAAAGGGGAGAAGGGAACAGGGTGGGAAGGGAGTTGGGTTTAGCCTGTGGACTTTGATGAGGGTTCCTAGGAATACTGGAGTGAAGTTTTCTGGGATGAAACCAGACTGGAGCCTCTGACAAGAGAAATTGCTTCTCCTCAGCTAGGGAAGATGCGCCTCACTGTCCCTTGTCGTGCCCTCACCTGCGCCCACCTGCAGAGCTTCGATGCTGCCCTTTATCTCCAGATGAATGAGAAGAAGCCTACGTGGACATGTCCTGTGTGTGACAAGAAGGCTCCCTATGAATCTCTTATCATTGATGGGTAGGGCCATTTTGCTTCCTCTTAACCTAGGACATCTGCTAGGACCCTCTTTTCTTTGTTATTTCTTTTTCTTTTTCTTTTTTTTTGAGATGGAGTCTTACTTTGTTGCCCAGGCTGGAGTGCAGTGGTGCAATCTTGGCTCACTGCAACCTCCGCCTCCTGGGTTCAGGCGATTCTCCTGCCTCAGCCTCCTGAGTAGCTGGGATTACAGGTCCGTGCCACCACGCCTGGCTAATTTTTGTATCTTTAGTAGAGACGGGGTTTCACCATGTTGGGCAGGCTGGTCTTGAACTCTTGACCTCAGGTGATCCACCCACCTCGGCCTCCCAAAGTGCTGGGATTACAGGCGTGAGACACCATACCCAGTCTATATTTCTTTTTTAGCCACCACCTCCTTCAGGGTTTTTAATTTATATGGCTTACTTCTCCTCACATGAACCCCAGTTCTCACCTTATCTATCCCTTTTGCCAATTTGTGTGTGTGTGTATGTGCGTGTATGTGGAGTGGGAGGGCAATATTAAGAACTTAGTATATACAAGGCATCTTGCTGAGTACTTTTAATGAGTTATCTCATTGAAACCTCACAATAAGCTTATGGACTGGGTGCAGTGGCTCACATCTGTAATTCCAACACTGGAAGGCCGACATGGAAAGATCATTTGAGGCTAGGAGTCTGAGACCAGCCTGGGCAACAGAGTAAGACCCTCTCTCTATAAAAAATTAAGAAAGTTAGCCAGGCATGGTATAATAGCTCATGACTGTAGTCTTAGCTGCTCAGGAGGCTGAGTGGGGAGGAAGGTTTGAACCCAGGAGTTTGAGGCTGTAGTGAGCTATGACTGCATTACTGCACCCCAGCCTGGGCAACAGATTGAGACCCTGTCTCAAAAAAAGAAATAATCCTATGATTGGCTAGTGACACTCACCCAGAAAAAAAAAAAAAAAGAAAACAATAACCCTATGAGATAGGTAGTATCATTACACATGAGGAAACTGAGGCCGAGAGAGATTGAATCTTGCTCAAGGTTACATTGTTAAGTGGCAGAGCCGGTACTGAACTGTCATAGTATATCACCTATAACAACTATCTGACTTCCCACTGAGCATTGCAGTAAGGTTCTTTTGAGGGCCTGGAAGTTCTGATCTTTTGATCTTGCTAGTCTTAACCCCTTTTCGGAATCTACATTATGGTTCTTGTTCCCAGTACCCCCCGACGGTTTTTTTTGTGTTTGTTTATTTGTCTGTTTTTGAGACAGGGTCTTGTTCTGTTGCCCAGACTGGAGTATAGTAGCACAATCATAGCTCACTGCAGCCTCGACCTCCTGGCCCCAAGTGATCTTCCCACCTTGGCCTCCCAAAGTGCTGGGATTGCAGGCATGAGCTACCATGCCTGGCCCAGGCTGGAGTGGTATGGCACAGTCTTATGATCTCGACTCACTGCAACCTCTGCCTTCTGGGTTCAAGCAATTCTCCTGCCTCAGCCTCCCAAGTAGCTGGGATTACAGGCATGTGCTGCCACATCTGGCTAATTTTGTATTTTTGGTAGAGATGAGGTTTCACCATGTTGGCCAGGCTGGTCTCGAACTCCTGACCTCAGGTGATCCACCCGCCTCGACCTTTGAAAGTGTGATTACAGGTGTGAGCCACAGCGCCGGCCTTTTTTTTTTTTTTTGAGGCAGAGCCTTGCTCTGTTGCCCAAGGTGGAGAACAGTGGTGTGATCTAGCCTCACTGCAACCTCTGCCTCCCGGGTTCAAGCGATTCTCGTGCCTCAGCCTCCCAAGTAGCTGGGATTACAGGCATGTGCCACCACACCTGGCTAATTTTTGTATTTTTAGTAGAGATGAGGTTTCACCATGTTGGCCAGGCTGGTCTTAAACTCCAAGCCTCAAGTGATTCACCTGTCTCTACCGCCCAAAGTGCTGGGATTACAGGCGTGAGCCACTTCACCCGGCCTCAGATTGTATTTATTTTAAAACCTGTTACTTAGTTTGCAAAGCTCTTTTACATACCTTCTGTTACTTGATTCCAACAACTCAGAGAGGTCCAGTAGGATGGATAATGTCCTTATTTTACAGATGAGGAAACTGAGGTACAGGAAGGCGAGTTATAGAACTCTCTGGCTACTGTTCCGCTCATCTCCCAGCCCCATGAATTTTCATCTCTCTCCTCCCCCAGTTTATTTATGGAGATTCTTAGTTCCTGTTCAGATTGTGATGAGATCCAATTCATGGAAGATGGATCCTGGTGCCCAATGAAACCCAAGAAGGAGGCATCTGAGGTTTGCCCCCCGCCAGGGTATGGGCTGGATGGTGAGTGACCCCCTGTTCCCCAGCTAAGCTAAATCTTGGATGGCCTCTTCTCTGAGACATAGTCTTCGTAATATCCGCAGGCCTCCAGTACAGCCCAGTCCAGGAGGGAAATCCATCAGAGAATAAGAAGAAGGTCGAAGTTATTGACTTGACAATAGAAAGCTCATCAGATGAGGAGGATCTGCCCCCTACCAAGAAGCACTGTTCTGTCACCTCAGCTGCCATCCCGGCCCTACCTGGAAGCAAAGGGTATGAGAAAATAGGCTGAATCTACGGCAAAAAGGACAGGGGAAGAAGTCAGGGATGCTTTCTGATCATTGGACAAAGCCTGGGGCAAGAGAAATGTGGAGGGGACAGAGAGGGAACCTGGGGACCTGAGCTGGGTGAGGGCATCTGTGGTTTGCTGGCTGCCTCAGCTCTTCTCTACCCACAGAGTCCTGACGTCTGGCCACCAGCCATCCTCGGTGCTAAGGAGCCCTGCCATGGGTGCGTTGGGTGGGGATTTCCTGTCCAGTCTCCCACTACATGAGTACCCACCTGCCTTCCCACTGGGAGCCGATATCCAAGGTATGACATGGATCATAAGATGGACCCTGCACTGCCACACCCTCCCCAGAGCTACATCAGAACCCCTGTTCCTTCTCAAAGCTTCCTGCTTCTCCTGCAAGGGGCCACAGTCCAAAGTGCTTTGTCTTTTGGTGGTAAAGGGGTCAGATAGGAGGTTGATTTTGATTTTTCTTTTCTTGCCAGGTTTAGATTTATTTTCATTTCTTCAGACAGAGAGTCAGGTAAGTGGTTCTTTCTTCAGAAGGTCTCAGATCTCTGAAGTGTCCTTTAGGCACTGATGGGACCCCTCCCTCTCTTATGATCTCTGGGGATGTAAATCTGCTTTTCTGTGAGGGCAGTGGGGTGTACGTAGCTTATTACCCTCCTCAGCCCCACTGGTAGTTCCTGAGATTCCTACTTAGGCCTCCTTCGTAGATCTCCTGTTACTATTCTGCCCCGGCCTACTCACCCCCACCCCCGTGTGCACTTAGAGCACCATGCCTGCCCTAACCGGACATTCCACACATTTCAGACACCCACAACGCCAAGAACCTAGCAAGTTGGAGGAGCTCTCAAGGCAGGGAAAGGGGAAGGGTGTGGGGAAGTAGGGGAAAGAGGGAGAGGCTCTCCCTTTTCTCAGAGAATACCTTGGGATCCACAGGGGTTGATTGCCCCCATACGGCATTTCTGAGATGAGTGACTGGGAGGTGGGGAGGTCAGGATGAGATCTTAAACTATGTCCTTGATTATTCCTAGCACTATGGCCCCTCCGTCATCACCTCACTAGATGAGCAGGATGCCCTTGGCCACTTCTTCCAGTACCGAGGGACCCCTTCTCACTTTCTGGGCCCACTGGCCCCCACGTTGGGGAGCTCCCACCGCAGTGCCACTCCGGCGCCCCTCCTGGCCGTGTCAGCAGCATTGTGGCCCCTGGGGGAGCCTTGAGGGAGGGGCATGGAGGACCCCTACCCTCAGGTCCTTCTTTGACTGGCTGTCGGTCAGACATCATTTCCCTGGACTGAGTTCCTTGGAATATGGAAACTTCACTGTCCCCCAACACTGAGCAAGTATGCTGTGGAGTCCCAACCCCAGCTACTCTGATCCCTCTGCTGGCTCTGGCCAAGGGCCAGACAGACCTTCACAGATGCCTACTTTTGGCCTCATCTCTGCCTGACAAGGCCAGCACCCAAAGGGTTAATATTTAACCTCTTTTTAAGGACATTGGGGTTTGTTTTTGGAAATGTTCTTTAGATGGTGGCACATTCCTTTGGGTATGTTAACCTAGGCAGTGGGAGGTAAATGGGATGGGATGTGAGCTGGGAGAAGGGCTGAACCCTCAGCCTCAACTGTGTCTAGAGCCTCTTGGGAAAGGGGCACCTCTCTTGAACCCCAAATGCTCTCTCTTCTTATCCCCCAAACCCATGGCTCTATTTCTTCTTCACATCCATTGTCTCTTCATGTCCATTCCATTCCCTTCCCTTTGGCCACACAGACAGGTGGAAAAACTGAGACAGGCAGTTTCAGAGATGGACAGAGAACTTTATTTTGGATTGTGGATGTGGATTTTTTTGTACATAAATAAGAAAAACCAAAATACTCCAAAGATGACTTCCCCTGCCTCCTACTCCAGTATGACAGAGGAGGATGTAAGGCCTTAGCCATGATCCCCCAGTGGTTTGGGAGTCAGGCCCGGCCTATTGCTTGGGTCTCTCTCTATTTATATATTTAAGTTCACAGTGTTTCTTATTCCGCCCTAAGCTTCTAGAGGCTCATGGCCCTGTGGTTAGGCCTGGCTCATTCTGCACCTTTCCAGGGAGGTGGGAGGACCCTGTGCCCTCCTTCCCAGTCCTCTTTTTCAGGCTCGTCCAAGGCCTGAGACCTGTGTTGTAATTTTACTTTTTATTCCTAAAGTTGTAGTGAAGCTCTCACCCATAATAAAGGTTGTGAATGTTCTGTGAGTGTCACGGAGATGGGCTAGGGAGGGGATGTTACACTTCACTTTCCAGAGCCCTGGTTTGGGGGAAGAGGGTCCATGTTCCATTCTTCCTTTGCTGGCCCTGGGTCCAGGTGAGCTGCACTTTTACACGGTGGGGGTGTTCCATGGAAGAATTCCCAGAGAGGTTGTCCTTCCTTCCTTTCCCCCATGCCTGTAAAACCAGACCATTCCAGCCCAGTGCTGTGGAGCTCTCCAGTCCCTTTTCACTTTTCCCTGCCCAGATGTTGCAGCCAGAGCCTGAGGGCAAACTTGGTTCCAGTGCTGACTCTCTCTTTGCCCTCTGCCATGGTTGGGATCATCCGCAGCAGGGTGGACATGGGCAGGACCAGAGGTCGGGCTCTTCCATCCTCTTCTAGTTCCAGTGCACTGCATAGTGACAACTCCTGTTGGGGCTGTGCCTTGTAGCTTACAAAGAACTTACATGTATGTGAGGTCCCCGAATCCTCCCAACTACCACAGGAGGTGGTGGGTGTTGATCTCTTTTGCAGAAAGGAAACAGGTTCAAGGAGGGTTAAATGACTTACCCCTCTGTTAGAACTGACACTTAGACCTTCAATGCTAGCCAGTTAGAGCACGAATCCTTGGGGTTTGATGGTCAGTGTCTTAGATCTCATGGACCTTCTTAATTATCACCTGACCCACTCTCTTTAAATCTCCCCACACCACCAAATTCCATCCTGAGAAGAGGATAGACGCTGTACTTCTCAACATGAATATGCTGGTGTATTAGAGGCTGAGGGAGAAGCTCTTACTTACAGGACAGAGGGTGGTAGGTCCTGGGGGAGAAGTCTGGGTGTCTCTGTCCCATCCTCTGTGGCAGCCACTGCAGCAGCTACATCTGGTGTCAGCCACATAAGGGCGCTCACCTCACTTGGGTTTGGTTGGATCCGGGCCTGGGGTCAGACATGGTGACCCCTCAGTCATTGCCTCTCCCTGGGATGCCTGTTCGTGATCAAAACCTACCTGCACTTTTCAAGGAGAAAGGCAGGTGCAACGGGAAAGGGTATTGCACATTCTTGGTTATCTCTGACCACCGCCCCCTTCCCCCCACCCCTGCCGCCCAGCTTCCAATCACAGGCAGAACCAGGTTGCTTGGGCTCCCCTGAGCCCTGTTTCCTTCCCTCACTGCCAGCCCTACCTGCAGCTGCTGCTGTGATTCCTGGGAGATCACGAGTAGATACAGAACAATGTGATGGTACTTGGGTAAACCCCAGCTCAGCCTAGGAGGGTAGGCAGACTAGGAAAAGAAAACAGCAAAAGTGAGAACTTTCTGTCACTTTTTTTCTTTTTTCAGATGGAGTTTCGCTCTTGTCACCCAGGCTGGTGTGCAGTGGTGCACACCACCACTTGGCTCACTGCAACCTCTGCCTCTTGGGTTCAAGCGATTCTCCAGCCTCAGCCTCCAGAGTAGCTGGGATTACAGGTGCCTGCCACCCACGCCCAGCTAATTTTTGTATTTTTAGTAGAGACGCGGTTTTGCCATGTTGTCCAGGCTGGTCTCGAACTTCTGACCTCACGTGATCCGCCCACCTCGGCCTCCCAAAGTTCTGGGATCATTGGCATGAGCCACCACACCCGGCCCTTTCTGTCACTTTTTGAGACTTTGTTAATACAGCTTTAGGGTGAAACAAAATGGTGGCCAAAAGCTGAGGGCATGGATGGTATAGATGACACAGCAGGGACATGGGTGAGGGTTATGGATTTGGGGACTCCAGCCCACTTATGTGCTATTGTTTCCCTTGTAGCCAAGGCAGGTAGGGGCTGATCTATGGACTTTGGTGGGTAGGTGTTGAGGTCTGTTGGTTAAATATGAAGGGGCTTCTCCCAGCTCCTTGTCTCACCTCCCATAAACCCAGAGGGACCCAAGAGAACTGGCCCTGGGGCAGGTGTAGTCCACACTCTTCCCAAAGTTCTCGAAGCCCTCCATCCAGCAGCTGGGAGTCAGAGAGGACACATCAGATTGGCCAGTGCCTGATTCCTCCAAGTCCTCCTGCTTGCCCCTCCCTCAGCCCACACCCAAGGTGGTCCTAGGCATGGGTCTTTTGGCTCAGGTTGGATCAGCTGACTGGTTACCTCCTCCTCAAGTTCCACGTGCCCACCTGCAACAACAGCGGGGCCAACAGGTGAATGGTGGTGGTCTTGACCAGGGACCGCCCACTCACTGTTGACATTTCTCTCCCCTCCAGTGGACACAGGGAGTTGCAGTCACTTGTGGCTATGAAGATGCCACATTTTGGGGCCCACTTTATCCTTTTGAGACTGGGGAAAACACTGTTGCGGGGAAAGGGCAAATTTCTGTACGTGGGGCCTCGTCCCCAGAATACTCACCCGGGGGTACCAGAGGTTGGGGGAAACGCTGAGGGTGCGTGCCCTTCTGGTCAGCAAGACAGTCTTGTCGCTGGACTGCAGAATGACGGCCACACCCAGGTCCACACCTCGATCTGTGGGCAGCTCAGCCCCAGGAACCCTGGGCCGCCCGTCCAGGGCCGCAAAAGGGCAGAAAGGGGGTCGCTGGCAGAAGGAAGCCAGCTGGGTTAAGGCTTCAGAAGTGGGGCGGCACTGGGTGGGCGTGACTTTCAAAAATGGGGCTACCCCGCGCGTTGGAGGCGGGGTCCTCGCCGCCAGTTCCCACCCGATTTCAGTCCCCGTCTTCGGCCCTTCACTGCCCCCACCCCCGCTCTGAGGCCCCTTTCTGCTGACCTGGAGCGGAAGCCTAGCGGAGGCGCCTGGGAAGGGCCTGCTCGAGAGGACAAGCCGTCCTCGCTTCAAGCCGCAGTGAATGGGCCACGGCCCGAGCCCTGGCCCGGCTCCCAGGAGGCCACACACACTCCGTGCGAAGCTCACCGACTCCGGACGCCCGGACAGGAGCAGCTGTACCCGCGCCGCGGCCATAACGCGACTCTGGGGTCGCTGCGGCCCGCCTGGCGCCCTCTGGTGGCCTAGCGACGCTTCCTCTTGGAGCGTTCCGCGGGTCGGAAGGTAGCGGGGTTTCTGAAAGTCCCCGGGAAATCCGGGCACATCTTTTGAGGATGACCCATGGGTATAATATTAAACCACAAAGAATACCTCTAAAAGCTCAGCTCCTATTTCCTTCCTATCTTCTCTGTTTAGGACAATGACCCCCAGACCGACTGACTTCAGGACTCACATGTTACTTCCTACCAGCCCTAAGCTGAACTGTAAGCACCCTCTACAGCACTGTGCACACCTGTTACAGCAGGCATCACTTTGAATTCATTATCTCCAAGCGAAACACGCCACATAACATTTTCGAGACCACTTCTCCTTCTTTCACTTCACCCAAATGGCAACCAAGTATGCAGATGCTATCTCCTTAAACTTCCTCAAACTCATGTTCTCTCCAGCCTTCATTCATTGCCCTAGTTTAAGCCTTCCTCATATTTTGCCTGAGATATTATTGCAAGTCTCCAAATAGTCTTGCCCCTACCAGTTCATCCTCTACAGTGCTGCCAGAGTGATGTTTCGTTTTGAGAGTCTCGCACCACCCAGACTGGAGTGCACTGGCGTGATCCCAGCTCACTGCAACCTCCATCTCCCAGGTTGAAGCCATTCTCGTGCTTTAGCTTCCCAAGTAGCTGGGATTACAGGGCGTCCACCACAACGCCTGGCTTTTTTTCTTTTTTTGAGACGGAGTCTTGCTCTGTCACCCAGGCTGGAGTGCAGTGGCGCGATCTCGGCTCACTGCAACCTCCACCTCCCTGGTTCAAGCGATTCTCCTGCCTCAGCCTCCTGAGTAGCTGGGATTACAGGTGCGCACTACCACACCTGGCTAATTTTTTAATTTTTTGTAAAGATGAAATCTCACTGTTGCCCAGGCTGTTCTTGAACTCCTGGCTTCAACTGATCCTCCCAGTGTGTTGGGATTATAGGATTGAGCCACCATCAAAATTATTCTTTTAGCTGTTTTGAAATGTACAGTAAATAACTATGCTACCCTGCTGATCTATCCAACACTAGGTCTTATTTCTTCAAACTGTATTAATCTGTGCCCACTAATCAACCTCTCTTCATCCTCCCCATCCTTCCTAGCTTCTGGTAATACCAATCTATTCTCTATTTTCTTGAGATCCACTTTTTTAGCTCCCATGTGAGAGAGAACATGCAATATTTGTTTCTGTGCTTGGTTTATTTTACTTAACATAGTGACCTCTAATTCCATCCATGTTGCTGCTAATGACAGGATTTCATTCATTCTTCCGGCTGAATAATATATACATTTTCTTTAGCCTTTCATCTATTGATGGGCACTTAGGTTGATTCCATGTTTTGGCTATCGTGAATAGTGCTGCAATAAACATGGGAGTGCAGGTATCTTTTTGATATATTGATTTCTTTCCTGTTGGAGAGAGAGATATATATACATACCCAGTAGTGGAACTGCTGGAGCATACAGATCTATTTTTAGTTTTTTGAGGAACCTCTGTAGTCTTCCATGGTGGCTGTACCAATTTACATTCCCAATAGTGTACCAGGCAGGGCTTTCCTTTTTCCACATCCTCACTAGCATTCATTCTTTCTTTTTGGTAAAAGTAACTAATTGGGGTGAGATGATATCTGTGTGATTTTGATTTCCATTTCTCTGATTAGTGATGTTGAACATTTTTTGATATATCTGTTGGCCATTTGTATATCTTCTTTTGAAAACTACCTATTCAGATCTTTTGGCTATTTTAAAGTTGGATTATTTGTTCTTTTTGCTATTGCTTGAGCTCCTTGTGTATTCTGGTTATTAATCCCTTGTTAAGATAGTTTGCAATAAAACATCCTCATCTTTCAAACTATACATTGTCACTTTCTCTGTGTTCCCTTTCCTGCCTGACCCTTTTCCCTTTCTGGCCTCTCCGCACGGAGTTACTCTTCTACTGTAGCACCTCCAATACTTCCTGGTACTTATGTACTTATTTGTCTCCTCCTACTAGACTGTATGCTCAAAATTTATTAATCTTTACAACTCCAAGGCTTACCCCAGTACTTAGCACAAAACAGGTGCTTAGTAAATGATGGTGACTGGTCTGAAGGCAGAAATGGTGTCTTACTTATCTTTGTATGTTGTGTTTAGTATGGTGGCTGGCAATTGTTTGGCACTCAAGTGTTTCAAGAATTAGGAAACACATTGGTGAGACCAAACTGAAGATATTATAAAACAACATTTAACTGCTTTAAATGAATTAAAGCTGCTGGGACAAATTATATCCATGATACTGAGAGAGACAATTTAGCGTTGCCAGTTTTAAGGAACCATGGAGAAGAGGAAGGTACTCATTTACTGTATGCTTATCATATGCCAGGCATTGGGTTAGCTGTTCTATGTAGTTTCAGATGTGTTAGAAGCCTGGAGCTGGCAAATGTGGCTTCAGTCCACAGATTCTAGTGTGACTGCTTGGGACAATCTACCTGCTAACCCTCAAAATAACTTTTTTCTTCTACTCTGTGATAGCCTTTCACATTCCCTACACTATGTGTGTGTTAGAAATTAGTTCATCAGCCTGGGCAACACAGGGAGGCTCCGTCTCTACAAAAAAAAAAAAAAGAAGACATTAGCCAGGTATGTGTGGCGCATGCCTGTAGTCCCAGCTGCTCCAGAGGCTGACGTGCAAGGACGCTTGAGCTCAGGAGGTCAAGGTTGCAGGGAGCTGTGATTGCACTATTATACCCAGCCTGGGTGACAGAGTGAGATCCTGTCTCAACAACAAATTTTCTGTCTTATCTATCTTATCTATCTATCTATCTCAACAAAATAAAGAACAGGCATAGACATTTGGAAAATAAAATTAACTTCTTAGGAAGAAGTTTCCTACTGCCAGGGATGTAGGTAACCATAGGTGTGGGTAACTTCTTTATGGATACAGATACATCTGATAGATGATTAATCCTGTTGATTTAAGGTTCTTCCCAGTGCCAAGATTTGATGAGGGGAGATTATAGCAATGGATCTAAATATGCCAAATTCTTTCAGGTGTATCCTGGGCTGCAGGGGATAGACAGGGGGGTTTAGTTGAAGAATCTGCAACTTATCCCACTGCAAATAATGCATCCAGGTACTTCCTTTATTTTGCTTTCCATCCCCCCCAGATCTTTGAGGAAGATGCTTCTGGATCACTGTCTCCTTCATGGTGCATCAATGGTAAGACTCCAGCAGGAAGATGGTTTCGTCCACCTGGATCTCACTGGCATCCAACCTGAGTGAAAAAGTAAAAGCATTTATTTGCCTAGACTGAATGTTCATATAGCATATTTAAGATTAGAGGCTAGGGTGGGTGTGGCCATGGGATAACTGCTTGGTTGCCCCCTGAGAGTGGTATGCAAAGAGGCAGGAGAACAGTAGATCTTAATTTCTGCCATTTACCAGGCATCTTTTATGTTGCCAGACACCATGGAAACTTGCTAAGAATGCAAAATACAGAGCTCTGTCCTGGGGGGGTAGTCTTTTTTTTTTTTTTTTTTTTGAGACGGCGTCTCGCTCTGTCGCCCAGGCTGCAGTGCAGTGGGCGGATCTCAGCTCACTGCAAGCTCCGCCTCCCGGGTTTACGCTATTCTCCTGCCTCAGCCTCCCGAGTAGCTGGGACTACAGGCGCCCGCTACATCGCCCGGCTAGTTTTTTGTATATTTTTTTTTTAGTAGAGACGGGGTTTCACCGGGTTAGCTGGGATGGTCTCGATCTCCTGACCTCGTGATCCGCCCGTCTCGGCCTCCCAAAGTGCTGGGATTACAGGCTTGAGCCACCGCGCCCGGCTGGGGGAGGGTAGTCTTAATTGTTGTGGGATACAAAATCACAACACAAAAGTTGGTTGTTTTTGTATAACACTAGCAATGAACAATCCAAAAATGAAATAAGCAACCACTAACCTAGCATCCAAAAAAATACTTAGAAAGGCCAGATTTGAGACGCATTACTGAAGTAAAAGTAAGCCAGTGCAGTGGCACTTGCCTGTAGTCCCAGCTACTTGGGAGGCTGAGCAGGAAGGTTGTTTGAACCTAGGCGTTCAAGGCCAGTCTGGGCAACACAGCCAAAATCCCCTCTTAAAAAAAATTTACCAGTACTTGATGAATAAGAGAGTGTATATGGTGATGGAGAAGAAGCTGAGAACATCTTCAGAACTGCTAGTTTACAAAAATAGGTGGATTAAATTCTGTTCAGTTAGCTGGAGAAGACAGTGAGTTTAGGCTTGCTCATGCTAAGTTGGAGGGTTACAGATGTCAAAATGGATTTTCTGGATAGTATTTGAAATGTAGGTCTGAAGTTTGTGATGCTTACTTGTTGACATTACGTTTCAGGGTCTCTAGCTGCTGACGTTCAGGAGCTGTGATCATCTCCTCTATTTCTTGTAACTGTGCTTCCTCTGCACCTGTAGCCTGCATAGATGCAATGATGGCTTCTACCCTCTGAGATTTTTCTAGTAGACGCCTGTCAAACAAACACAACTCTGAAACATGTTCCCTAACCTGGGAGATTCTCTTACCACGTATGTCTGAGGCACAGCCCACTACCCTTTTACCATTTTCCTGGTCAAAGTAGATAATGTTACCTTCTAAGGACATTTTCTACAACTTACTGGGAAATATAACTTTAATCCTGAAATTCTTACTGCCTCTCATTTGCACTTAAAGTTTGGTGCGTTTGTACGTTTCTCATAAATTTAATCTGAAAAATTACTTCACTGGGAGCATGTTAGAAAAGTGTAGACTAATGCATGATTTATACTAATCTAAGCCAATGATTCAATGCAAGTAGACTGGTTGCTATCTCTATTGGTTCCTATTTCTCAAAAAAATATTTTTTTTTGAGATGGAGTGTCCACTCTGTTGCCCAGGCTGGAGTGCAGTGGCATGATCTTGGCTCACTGCAAGCTCCACTCACTGGGTTTAAGTGATTCTCCTGCCTTAGCCTCCCAAGTAGCTGGGACTATAGGTGCCCGCCACCACGCCCAGCTAATTTTTGTATTTTTAGTGAAGACAGGGTTTCACCATTTTGGCCAGGTTGGTCTCGAACTCCTGACCTCAAGTGATCACCTGCCTTGGCCTCCCAAAGTGCTGGGATTATAGGCATGAGCCACCCTGCCAGGCCCAGCATCTATTAGTTCCTATTTCTAGAGGAAATTTCCCCTTAGGCCCTTGACTTTGAAAATTGTAAATAACTCAACTGAAAATGTTACTTACTTATTCTCTTTGGTTTCAAATTGCCTCCTTTCTATCAAGTTGGCTATGCTCTGAGGAAAGAGAAGACAGACCAAGGAATGTACATAGTTCTATTTCAGCAGCTCAGGGCGAAGTGGGCATATGAGGGGGACTTGTCTGTGTGGGTTACCTTATAGCACCTGTGCAACAACATTCGGGCAGCTGACAGGATGTTCACAGTATATAAATAGAAGGTCCTGGATGGGGCATGGTCTGGTGTTTTGGGAATTTCCTATTTGTCCAATAGAAAGAAAAATAACAGAAATTATACTGTTTTAGAACTGGCAAAGTACACACTCATTCCACCTGGAGTTACTCAGCCCTCTTTTTACTTATACTTTCCTGTTTCCTAGTCATTCAGTACCTGTGTTTATTTATTTATTTATTTAGAGACTGGGTCTTGCTCTGTTACCTAGGATGGAGTGTGGTGGCATGATATCGGCTCACTGCAACTTCTACCTCCGGCTCAAGCAATCCTCCCACCTCAGTCTCCCGAGTAGCCAGAACTACAGGCATGCACCACCATGCTCGGCTGATTTTTTACTTTTTTGGGCGTGGGGGAGACATGGTCTCACTGTATTGCCCAGGCTGGTCTTGAATTCCTGGGCTCAAATGAGCATCCTGCCTTGGCTTCCCAAAGTGCTGAGATTACAGTTGTGCTCGACCAGTCTCTGTGGTTTATGTCATACTTAGTCAAACGGAGAGCTGGGCTTCCCTGTTTTTTTATATGACTGTCAGCATCCTGAGCTGGGGAAGAAAGGGAAGGCAACTAACATTTACTGAGCAACTCTATGTGCCAGGTAAATTCTATTTGGTCTTCACAGAAAACCATATTATTATTATTTTTGAGACGGAGTCTTGCTCTTTTGCCCAGGCTGGAGTGCAGTGGTGCAATCTCGGCTCACTGTAACCTCTGCCTCCCGAGTTTAAGCAATTCTCCTTCCTGTCTCCTGAGTAGCTGGGATTACAGACACACGCCACTACACCCAGCTAATTTTTATATTTTTAGTAGAGACAGGGTTTCAACAGGTTGGCTAGGCTGGTCTCGAACTCCTGACCTCAAGTGATCTGTCCGCCGAGGCCTCCCAAAGTGCTGGGATTACAGGCATAAGCCACCGCGCCTGGCAACCATATTATTTTTATTATCACCATTCGTCACTGTTTTATAGATGGAAAAAATGTAACTTGCTTAATGTAACTGGGTAAGGCAGAGCTCTAATCTGACTCCAAAATCCATTCTATTTACTCATAGGGTCTACTACATAGCCCTGCAGACTCAGTTAGATGTGTTGATAAATTTAAACTATTACAGAATTAAGGCTTAAGGAAGGACAGAAATAGAAGAGAAAAAAGACAGGATGGGTTTGGGGTGACGTCCTGGCTGTGCCTCTTTTTTTTTTTTTGAGACAGAGTCTCACTCTGTCGCTCAGGCTGGAGTGCAGTGGCTCGATCTCGGCTCACTGCAACCTCCCCCTCTCGGGTTCAAGAGATTCTCCTTCCTGCCTCAGCCTCCTGAGTAGCTGGGATTATAGGTGCGTGCCACCAGGCCCAGCTAATGGTTTTGTATTTTAGTAGAGACGGAGTTACACCATGTTGGCCAGGCTGGTCTCGAACTCCTGACCTCAAGTGATCTGCCCACCTTGGCCTCCCAAAGTGCTGGGATTACAGGTGTGAGTCACTGTGCCCGGCTGCCTCTTTCTTACTAGGGCAGTTAAGGCCCCACATTATCCTCCAAGTGCTTGTGAATCATGTTTTTCTGTCTCAGAGCTGGATATAGAGTTTGCTTGGGGGTTCAGTATGTTTCCCTAAGAAGTTTCTCTCACCCTAGGCCAGCATTGCTGGTTGGCAATTATTACACCCTTGGTTGGTTACCTGGAGTGACATGAAATTTTCTGAGAGCATCTTATATAGCATATCCTTTGCCTCCTTGGCAGGAATCATTGCAAAGTCTTCCACTTGCTTCTGCTCTAGGTGTTTCTTCTGCAAAACTAGACGGAATATTCTAGCACAGCGAGACCCAAATCTGGAAAGGAATGAAGAAAGCAAATGGCATGCTAACATAGAAGATTAGCTTTAGTTCCCAGTCATAGATGGGGTGGTTGTTCTATTCCATGTGTGGAGCCAGGACCAGAAAGGAACAGTGATCAGAAAATTATTCTACAGCTCCACAGGCTGGTGATGGTAAGGCCTCACCAACTGATGTTAATCATAAGGCAGTCACCAACTGCTGACTTATTTGAGTGCCACAGTTCCTACATTTGTAAGCAAAGGCTTTAGGGAGGCTGGTTAATTGGAATTAAGCAATAGGTTATTTTAGGGTAAAGAGCAGTATTAATGCGATCCATAGGAGTCCAGTGAAAAAATGGGGCAAAGTGTGCCAAGGTGTGGTTATATTGGTTGCTTACATAATGATCAAATTACTTCATTGGGGATAGGAAGTATGTGATCCCAAACCCAGTGTCCCCCTTACCTCTCCTGTACGACAGACTCCAGAGTGGCTGTGGCTAGGGATGCTAATGCCTTATGGAGGTCTTTATGTAGAGAATTAAGGTCACTCAGTAATGTTTTGGCCTAGTTATTATGATCTGAGTTTTACTCCTAAGTTTCTATTTTAAAGCTATTTTGCTTTTCATGTTATAATTTATGGTTTCAGTTATGGTACGTAAATATTCCAAAACTTTAATACAAGTGTTTAAGTAAGGGTTTTGCTTAACTACAATTTGGCGGATTAAAAGTCCTTTTTACTTCTTTTTTTTGAGACAGGGTCTCACTCTGTCACCCAGGTTGGAGTACAGTGGCATCATCTCAGCTTACTGCAACCCCTGTCTCCTGGGCTCAAGCGATCCTTCCACCTCAGCCTCCTGAGGAGCTGGACTACAAGCATGCATTATTACATCTGGCTAGTTTTTGTATTTTTTGTAGAGATGGGGTTTTGCCATGTTGCTTAGGTGATCCTGAACTCCTGGGTTCATGCAATTCACCTGCCTCAGCCTCCCAAAGTTCTAGGATTACAGGTGTGAGCCACTATGCCTGGCTTCTTTTTACTTCTTTATCATCAATGCAGTTCACTGGAAATTCATAGAAAAATTTATTTAACAATTATTTCAATTTTCTAACTTATTTAGTGTAATAAACATTATCAAATCTTTCTTTCCTAAAGCACCATTCTGATTTATAGGTCAGGCTGCCTGACTCTAAGGAAATAACTGGTAAGGATACTGATGACATACATTCCTCCACCACTGTCGCCAGACTTTCCAACAAACTCTAGCTATTAAGAAAAAGAGAGAGTGTTAACTGAATGGAAGTCCAGTGATTCTGTTTCCAATGGAACAAATCTGACCAAAAGTCTGCAGCAGACAGACTATTCTCTGCCTAGCCAACCCAGACAATTTCTCCACATCATTTGATGGGTACACATTTGATGGGAGATCAAATGATGCGGAGAAATTGTCTGGGTTGGCTAGGCAGAGAATAACTCTACAGGAGAATGATACTAGATATCAGTGCAGAAGTAAATTATCAACAGTACAGACTAAAGAAAAAAGAAAAAAAGCAAAAATAGACTTACAGGATCATCTGCCAGCAGAGTGAGATACTGATCAAGAACTTGCTTAGAGATGTTATAGCCAACAGGTAGGGATCTGAAGATCTATGGAGCAAAAGACACTTAAAATGGGTTTGGGAACTTAGAACTCCTAACTTTACTGAAATAAAGATGTTTTAGGCTGGGCGCAGTGGCTAACGCCTATAATCCCAGCACTCTGGGAGGCTGCGGCAGGTGGATCACTTTGGGTCAAGAGTTGGAGAGCCTGACCAACATGGTGAAACCCTGTCTCTAGTAAAAATACAGAATTAGCTGGACGTGGTGGCGCATGCCTGTAATCCCAGCTATTTGGGAGGCTGAGGCAGGAGAATCGCTTGAACCTGGAAGGCAGAGGTTGCAGTGAGCCGAGATTGTGCCATTGCTCTCCAGCCTGGGCTACAAGGGCGAAACTCCCGTCTCAAAAAAAAAAAAAAGTTTCAATTTTAGTTTTATCACAAAACTGTCCAAAAATATTCATAGCAGGATTGTTTGTAAGAGTAAAAAATTAGAAACACCCAAATGACCAGTACTGAGGAGTACACTAAAATATAGCATGGCCATTAAGTGGAATATGATACAGTCATTATGAAGAGTGAGACAAATCTATAGAAACTGACATGAAAAGTTTTACATACACTGTCATATAAAAAAACAAGTTATAGAACAATATGAATAGGTCGGGTGCGGTAGATCATGCCTTTGTAACCCCAGCACTTTGAGAGGCCGAGGTGGGTGGATCACTTGAGGTCAGGAGTTCAAGACCAGCCTGGCCAACATAGTGAAACCCTGTCTCTACTAAAAATACAAAATTTAGCCTGGTGTGGTGGCATGGGCCTGTGATCCCAGCTACTCGGGAGGATGAGCAGGAGAATGCCTTGAACCCAGGAGCTGAAGGTTGCAGTGAGCTGAGATCATGCTATTGCACTCCAGCCTGGGTGAAAGAGTGAGACTCTGTCACAAAAAAATGAAAAAAAAAACAAAAGCCAAGCCAGCATGAATAGTCCCATTTTGGGGTTAAAACATACATACACCCACACATATGTTAGAGTATGCAAGGTCTGAATAAAGATACATACCAAACCTTTTTTTTTTTTTTTTATTTTTTGAGACAGAGTCTCACTCTGTCTCCCAAGCTGGAATGCAGTGGCCTGATCTCAGCTCTCTGCAACCTCCCACTCCTGGGTTCAAGCGATTCTCCAGCCTCAGCCTCCCAAGTAGCTGGGACTACAGGCGCCCACCACCATGCCTGGCTAATTTCTGTATTTTTAGTAGAGATGAAGTTTCACCATGTTGGACTACGCTGGTCTTGAACTCCTCAGGTGATCTGCCCATCTCAGCCTCCCAAAGTGCTGGAATTAGACGTGTGAGGCGCTGCATCTGGCCTTTTTTTTTTTTTTTTTTTGAAATAGGGTTTTGCTCTGTTGTTTAAGCTGTAGTGCAGTGGCATGATCACAGTTCACTGCAACCTCAAACTCCTGGGCTCAAGCAATCCTCCTGCCTCAGCCTCTCGAATAGCTGTGACTATAGGCATGTGGCACCACACCCAACTAATTTTTTTAAAACATTTTTTGTAGAGACGGGGGTCTTGCCATGTTGCCCAGGTTGGTCTTGAACTCCTGGCCTCAAGGGATCCTTCTGCCTCAACCTCCCAAAGTTCTAGGATTACAAGTGTGAGTTATTGCACCTGGCTGTAGAACTTTAAAATAAACAATATAAAAATGTAGGAATATTTAAGTAAATATAGTCATGCACCACATAACATTTTAGTCAACAATGGACCGTGTGCAGCTGTGGTCCCATAAGATTATACTGGAGCTGAAAAATTCCTACTGTTTTGTGATTTCTTGCTGTTGTAACATCATAGCACAATGCCGCCGTGAAACACATTACTCACGTTTGTGGTGAGGCTGGAGTGCAGTGGCATGATCTTGGCTCACTGCAACCTCTGCCTCCTGGGTTCAAGCGATACTCCTGCCTCAGCCTCCCGAGTAGCTGGGACCACAGGTGCACGCCACCATGCCTGGCTAATTTTTTTTTTCTTTTGTATTTTAGTAGACGGGTTTCACCATGTTGCCCAGGCTGGTCTTGAACTCCTGAGCTCAAGCAATCCACTAGCCTCGGCCTCCCAAAGTGCTAGGATTACAGGCGTGAGCCACCCTGCCCAGCCTGTTACTGTTTTTAATAAATACAGTGTAGCCTAAGTATGTAGACCTTCACATTCACATTTGCCATTCATTCACTGATTCCCGCAGGGCAACTTTTAGTCCTGAAAGCTCCATTCATGTTAAGTGCACTAAAGAGGTGTAGTTTTTAATTTTTCATACCATATTTTTACTGTACCTTTTCTGTGGTTTAGATGTTTAGATACACAGATGCCACTGCATTACAACAGCCTACAGTATTCAGTACAGTAACATGCTGTACAGGTTTACAGCCTAGAAGCCATAGGCTATCCCATACGGTCTAGGTGTGCTGTAGGCTACACCGTCTAGGTTCATGTAAATACACCCTATGATGTTCACACAATGATGAAATCGCCTGACGACACATTTCTCAGAATGTATCCCGTTGTTAAGTGGTGCATGACTGTATTACTACGAAAGTAATATAAATAACACATATTGGATATATTAGATATCAGTATTTTAAATACAAGGGGTCAAATAATATCCTGAATGCCAAGGCTCTCAGAGTCCAAATCGTGGATTCTTAAAATAATTAGGAATAGGTTGTACTTGACGAACAGATACTTTGACTAAGTGAATAGTGTAGATTTTTAAAAGCTGGATCCTAAGAGACCAAACATTTCAGTGCTCACCACTTGAAGATAATCCCTGCTCCACATCAAACAAACGCCCTTCTCTATCAAGGCTCAGACCTCAACCCAAACCCAGGATCTGTGTATAATAAACGTTGTTAATACCCAAGAATCTGTCAGCAAGTTAGCGCAAGAACACGAAACTCACCTCATTGGAAGACAATGGCTGGGTGAAGGGAGCACTAGAGGAAGTAGTAATCTCACTCATTCGGAGCATGGTTCGCACAATCTCGCTGCTCGTCTGTTTGAAAAGTAAACTAGAATTCAGAAATCACAGTGCTGCCCCCGGCTCTCTGTGCCAATGGCCAGATATGACAAATAAGTAAATATCCCTGATGACCAATGACAGACCCACTTAGGTATTACCTGGTCCATCCTGTTAGCAACTGCACTCACAATGGCTTGATCACGGAAGTGTTGGTGGAATCTGTCAAGGTTGGCCTGCCAATAAATCCCGTCATCTGGAATGGGCTGAGGAAGAGAAAAGATTTAGAGAGAAACATTTAGATATAATGTAAAGTTTTCTGGTGAGGAGCTTGGATTTAATGGTTCACCATTTCTTTTCCTACACAGTAACAACTAAATTGGTTGGAGAAAAATCATTCAGTCATGTAGATTGGTGTCTAGACAAATCCCAACTTCAAACAGGTTCTCTAAGCTCATCTCCAATCTTTCTCTCCCTATTTTATTATTTTACTTTTTTTTTGAGATGGAGTTTTGCTCTTGTCACCCAGACTGGAGTGCAGTGGCATGATCTCGGCTCACTGGAACCTCTGCCTCTCGGGTTCAAGCGATTCTCCTGCCTCAGCCTACCGAGTAGCTGGGATTACAGGCAACCACCACTCAGCTAGGCTAATTTTTCTATTTTTAGTAGAGTTTGAGTTTTACAGTGTTGGCTAGGCTGGTGCTGGGATTACAGGCGTGAGCCACCATGACCGCCCTTTCTCTCCCTATTTTAACTCTTCTCCATTACCCTCAAGTCTCCAACCTGACCCTTCTTCCTTCTCACTCTTGGCAGATGACTTTGCCTCTGATTTCACAGAGAAAATAGAAGCCACTAAGCCAGAACTTACTCAGCTCTGTGCACATCCTCACCACATTTCTTTCTTTTTTGTTCTTAACTCATATTTTCACTCACTTTTATCACAGCTGAAAAATGTTCCTTTTACCTAAGGTTAATGCCCATATTGGTATTCCAGATCTTACTCTCTCATTCATTCTTGGGGATCCAGCTGTATTTTACCCTGTCCTCTAACATCTTCAGCCTTTCCTTCTCTACCGCCTTCTTATCAGCCTTTACCCTGTCCAAGTCTCTTTTACTCTAGAATTCTCCTTCAACCCTATGCCTTCTCTTCTTTTCCTTACTGTCACAGCCAAGCTTCTCAAACAGTTGGCCATCCCAGCTGTTATCTCTATCTAGATTTACTTAACCCGTTTCCACCATTGTACTGAAATGTCAATTGTCACTTGCATTCCAGTGAAATTCCACAATTGTCCCTGAGGACTCTATGTTGTTAAGTTCAAATAATACTTTCCACTTCTGATCTTATTTAACCTTTTGGAAGCATATGACATGGTTGGACATTTTTTCCTTCTTAAAACTTTATGTGGCTCCTTGGATTTTATGACACCATTTTTTTTTTTTTTTCTTTTTAAAGACAGGGTCTTTGTCACCCAGGCTGGAGAGCAGTGGTGTGATCGTAGCTCACTGCAGCCTTGACCTCCTTGGGCTCAGGTGATCCTCTCACCTCAGCCTCCCAAGTAGCTGGGACCACAGGTGTGTGCCACCACGCTTGGGTAATTTTTGTATTTTTTGTAGAGACAGGGTCTCACCATGTTGCTCAGGATGGTCTCAAACTCCTAGGCTCAAGTGATCCGCCAGCCTTGCCCTTCCAAAGTGTTAGGATTACAGGTGTGAGCCACTGGGCCTGGCTGACACTATTTTTTCTTGGTGCTACTTTGAACCTTTCTGGCCACCTTTCCTCAGTCTCCACCGATTCCTCTTTCAGATCCCACCTATAATACTGGTGTTTTGTCAGGGTTCTATCCATACCTTTCCTTTCTTTTTATTCTACATGCTCTACTTGGGTAATTTTATCTGCTCTCCAGGTTTCAACTATTGGTGCATTTCCAAATATGTCACTCTATCCTAGAACCCTCTCTCTCTTTTTTTGAGACGGAGTTTTGCTCTTTTGCCCAGGCTGGAGTGAAGTGGCACAACCTCGGCTCACTGCAACCTCCACCCTCCAGGTTCAAGCGATTCTCCTGCCTCAGCTTCCTGAGTAGCTGGGATTACAGGCCTGTGCCACCATGCCTGGCTAGTTTTTATATTTTTAGTAGAGATGGGGTTTCACCAAGTTGGCTAGGCTGGTCTCGAATTCCTCACCTCAGGTGATCACCCGCCTCGGCCTCCCAAAGTGCTAGGATTACAGGCATGAGCCACCGCACCCGGCCTATCCTAGAACCCTCTATTAGGCTTCAGATGCATAGACTCAGCTGCCTATTTGACACTTTCACTTGTTCTCCAAACTGTTCTGTTTTTTAAGTTTTCAGGTAACTGCACTATAACCATCCCAGTTTTTTTTTTTTGAGACAGGGTCTTGCTCTGTTGCCCAAGCTGTAGTGCAATGGCACAATTGTGGCTCACTGCAGCCTTGACTTCCTGGGCTCAAGTGATCCTCCCACCTCAGCCCCTCAGTAGCTGGGACTACAAGCATGTGCCATCAGGTCTGGTGGATTTTTTTTTTTTTGGTAGAGATAGGGTCTATGTTGTCCAGGCTGGTCTCAAACTCCTGGGCTCAAGTGATTCTTCTGCGTCAGCCTCCCAAAATGCTGGGATTACAGGCGAGAGCCACTGTGCCTAGACAACCCAATTTCTTTCTTTCTCTCTTTTTTTTTTTTTGGAGATAGAGTCTCGCTCTGTCACCCAGGATGGAGTTCAGTGGTGCAATCTCGGTTCACTGCAACCTCTGCCTTCCAGGTTCAGGCCATTATCCTGCCGCAGCCTCCCAAGTAGCTGTGATTGCAGGCACCCACCACCATGGCCGGCTAATTTTTGTATTTTTAGTAGAGACGGGGTTTCACCATGTTGACCAGGCTGGTCTTGAACTCTGACCTCAGGTGATCCACCTGCCTCGGCCTCCCAAAGTGCTGGGATTACAGACGTGAGTCACCGTGCTTGGCCGGCCAACCCAATTTCTTAAGCTACAAACTTGGGTATCACCCCTAGTCCCTTGCTGTCCATAATCTACCACATTACCAAGTTCTATCTACTCTTCATAGTTATCAGATGTCTACTTTTCTCTCTCCTATCATTACCTTATTTCAGACTCTAAATCTTGGCCCATCTGGATTACTACAATAACCTCCTAACTGGTTTTTCTTTTTTCTTGTTTTTTTCCCCTTTAAAACATAGCAGATACTATAAAAGGAATAACTGGGTTTTCTCCTTCTAATTTTGTTTTGCATCATTCTTCCCATTTCTTTTTTTTTTTTTTAAACTGTTTTGGGTCACAGTTCCTTTGAAGAATGTAATGAAAGGTATGGAGAGCTTCACTGAAAAATGCACATAAGTACAAGCAGACTCTCTGAAATCCATCCATGGAGTAGTACAGGTTAGGAACTGCTATGCTATAATAATCTTTCTAACATATAAATCCAGTTACTTCATTTCTCTGCTTAAAATCCATCAATGGCTCTCCCTTGTCTTCAGGATAAAGTCCACACCTCTTAGACAAACATGTACACAAATAATAAATAATTCCAGTTATAAATATAAATGCTGTGAAGTATATGAAATGAGAAATGTGGTAGGGACCAGTGTAGGAGAGGACAATGGTGCTTGAAGTCTATGAAAAGAGCATTTAAGACAGAAATGATAAAAACAGAGACCACTACATGAAGATCTGGGGACAAACATTTGAAGCCAGAGGCATGATAAGGGCCAAAGTCTAAAGACTAGAAAGAGTTTGACATGTTTAAGAGATAGAAAGTCAGTAGGGGGAACACAGTGAGCAAGACGGAGATGGGTCAGAGGTGAGGTTGAAAAGCCTGTCTCCAACAGATCATACGAAGACCTAGATTATGTAAGGCTTCCTAGCCCGTATCTTGGATTTCTTCTAAGAGTAAAGGAAAGCTATTAAAGGAGTCTAATCAGTGGATGTATTGTTTTGTTTTGAACTTAGAAAGTCATTTTGGCTACTAAGTAGGTAAGAATGCAGCTAGGGAGACCATTAACGAAAGGGTTAGGAAAGAGTTGATGAGAGACGGCAGTTAAAAGATGAGAAATGGTTGGATTTGAGGTAATTTTGGAAACTGGGCTGGTATGTTTTACTGTGAGATTAGAGGGTTCCAAGGATTTTGGCCTAAGCAGAAATGGTGGTGTCCTAGGTGGCTGGCCTAGGTGGTAGTGTCTTTTACTAAGAGGAGGAATCAATTATTCTGTTTTGGCCACACTAAGTTTGAGATGCTTACTGACATCTTTATAGGCATGCTAAGAAGGCACTGAATATAAGTTCAGGCCTATGTATAGTTTTTAGACCCATTTTTCACCACTGTTTTTAGGTTCTTGCCATATTGAGCAATCTAAACTTTTTCTAGGCCCCTTTTTACATAGCCTGTTATCTCTGTTCAATGAAAGAATTAAGGCTCAGAAGGGAGACAGTAATGATTCATTCTTTGTGAATGAATAGAATGGTTCATTCTATTTCTAATATTTAATGAGGTTCATAATCCTACTGCTTCTTAGCTCAGGAAACTTTAAGCTCTCTTGGGGCTTGTTATCTGAGTGCTCTTTCTGGCCTGCTTCAGGGTGAGGACTTCTAATCAAGAAGCCCCATTACCTCCTTGTTATCTGTAGTATGTTTTGGTCTCTTGGCCTTGGGTTCCCCAGCAGCATCTTCATCAGATGATCTGCGCCTTTTACCTTTTCCTGCCAAACAAATAATTGAACACTTAGACTGTATGACTGTATGACAGCAAATGACCAAACATGAGAGCAGGTGTCTTTCATTCCAAAGACATCTATAGCTGCCTCTAGATCAGAGTTGCTTAGGGGGCTGAAGAGCTATAAGAAATTCAAGTAAAGGATGAAATGATCTGAAACTCAACATGTTCAAAAAGAAGCTTATAGTCTTTCTCCTCCAATACTCTCTTTCATGGCCAATGATATCACCATTCTTCCACATGTGCAAGTCAGACACAGAAATGTCATTCTTAATACTTGTCTCCTTCACCCTCTGTTTCATTTTCCACCAGTCTGTCAACTTTTACTTTGCCCCATTCTCCCATCCTTTCTGTAGACAAAAAATCTTTTAAAAGTATAAATTAGATCATGTCATTTCCTAAAAAATCCTTTAGTGGTTTTCCTTTGCTCTTAGCATAAAGAACAAATGCTTTATAAGGTCTTACTTGATTTAGTCCCTGCCTGTTTCCCATCCAAGTACTAAGCAGGTCGATCCTGATTAGCTTCTGATATCAGACCCCTGCCTATCTATGTCTCTAACCTTATCTCCTGCCTCTTTGCTTTGCTTACAATGCTTTAGCTATACTGACACTCTCTCATTTCCTCAAATGCTTTTTTTTTTTTGAGATGGAGTCTTGCTCTGTTACCCAGGCCAGAGTGTGACAGAGCTGGAGTGCAATGGCATGATCTCAGATCTTGGCTCACTGCAAGCTCTGCCTCCCGGGTTCATGCCATTCTCCTGCCTCAGCCTCCAGAGTAGCTGGGACTACAGCACCCGCCACCATGCCCGGCTAATTTTTGTATTTTTTTTTTAGAGACAGGGTTTCAACGTGTTAGCCAGGATGGTCTTGATCTCCTGACCTTGTGACCCGCCCGCCCTGGCCTCCCAAAGTGCTCGGATTACAGGCATGAGCCACCGTGCCTGGTCTACAAATGCTGGTTTTTTTTTTTTTTTTTACTCCATACTATTCCCTTTGCCAAAAATGCTTTTCCTGTTACCTCACTGTTAGCTTCCACTTTAAATCTTAGCTCAAATGTCACCTTCTCAAAGAAACATGAGGCCTAAACTCCCAGATGAATCCCGTCCCTCATTATATATTTTCTTCTTTTTTTCTGAGACAGTCTCACTCTGTCGCCCAGGCTGGCGTGCAGTGGCGCAGTCTTGGCTCACTGCAACCTCTGTCTCCTGGGTTCAAGCAATTCTCCTGCCCCAGCCTCCCGAGTAGCTGGGATTACAGGTGTACACCACCATACCTGGCTAATTTTTGTAATTTTAGTAGAGATGGGGTTTCACCATGTTGCCCAGGCTGGTCTGGAACTCCTGGCCTTATGCAATTCGCCTGCCTCAGTCTCCCAAAGTCTCCATTATATATTTTCTTTTTCTTTTTTTTTTAGATGGAGTCTCACTCTGTTGCCCAGGCTGGAGTGCAGTGGCCGCATCTCAGTTCACTGCAAGCTCCGCCTCCCGGGTTTATGCCATTCTCCTGCCTCAGCCTCCCAAGTAGCTGGGACTACAGGCGCCTGCCACCTCGCCCAGCTAGATTTTTGTATTTTTTAGTAGAGACGGGGTTTCACCGTGTTACCCAGGATGGTCTCGATCTCCTGACCTCGTGATCCGCCCGTCTCGGCCTCCCAAAGTGCTGGGATTACAGGCTTGAGCCACCGCGCCCGGCCTCCATTATATATTTTCATAACACCTCATACTTTACCTTCATGGTACTTATCACAGTTTAATTATATATCGATGTGATTTTCTGATTAATGTATGTGTCATAATACTATGACAGTTCCTTCATAGAAATATTTCCTTCATAGTACTTATCACCGTTTAATGATATATCGATGTGATTTTCTGATTAATGTATGTCTCCTAAAGCCCCATGACAGAGACCATGATTTTTTCATTGTTATCCACCACGATGTTTGACACATAGCAAATGTTCAGACTGATTGGTAAATCAGTCTGATTTACCAAGGTAAATGTTCACCTGATTCATACATTTGATAATCAATCAAGAAGAATCCACAATTAAGGCAAGTCACAGTTCCAGGGGTTAAAATTCCTTACCTATCAAGCTCAGCTTAGGAACCAGGTACATGTCCTTTTCATTAATGACAAGTGTGGGGGCAGGTGGTGGTGGCCCAGGGTCTGAATTCTCAGTGGTAGGTACTGAGGGGCAGCGTTGTACAAAGTGTGTGTCTGCCAGTCGTACAAATGTGTTTGATACTTCAGCATAGTCCATGGTCTTGCCATCTGTATAAGAGGAGGAAAAAGGCAGATGAGACGGCCTAAGATAGCTCAGGGTCCATTCCTGTAGCCAGCTGATCTATGCTTCTGTTAACAACTATGGATACAGTACTAACCCTCCATGGTCTCTGTGAGCCGGTCTGCCACTTTCTTCACAACAGCTGACATTGTCAGTTTGCCATTCAACAGAAGCTCCTCAACGATCAGTTCTCCAGTGTCACTGTACAGAGTTTTGGTAGTATAGATGTACCGGGGATATCTAAGCATTCGCAATACCCGGCTGCACTGGGCTTCATACTCCACCACACCACGTTTGTGCACTTGGTAACTCACCAGGTTATGCTGGATGAGGACACACAGGGCTTTTTTCACCTAGATGGGACATAAAGAGAAGAGAGGAAAGACCTGAAGATATAGCTCATTACTGCTGGAAATTTTTTGTCCAACAACTTACTAAGCATCAGAAAATGGCTAGATAATTTCTGCACTTATTTTCTCTCCATTGGAGTAGCTAATAAGAATCAGACATCAATACAATAAATCAGGAAGATTCCTTGCTATATTTACTCTGATCCTTATCTTTCTTTTTTTTTTTTTTTTTTGAGACGGAGTCTTGCTCTGTCACCCAGGCTGGAGTGCAGTGGCCAGATCTCAGCTCACTGCAAGCTCCGCCTCCCGGGTTCCCGCCATTCTCCTGCCTCAGCCTCCCGAGTAGCTGGGACCACAGGCGCCGCCACCTCGCCCGGCTAATTTTTTGTGTTTTTTTTTTTAGTAGAGATGGGGTTTCGCCGTGTTAGCCAGGATGGTCTCGATCTCCTGACCTTGTGATCCGCCCGTCTCGGCCTCCCAAAGTGCTGGGATTACAGGCTTGAGCCACCGCGCCCGGCCTGATCCTTATCTTTCAAAACACAATTTACTTTCATCATTCTCATTCCTTAAAGGCAGTACTGAGATTAAAAGACCTATTGTGAATAAACGAGGTATGGCATGGGAAGAGCAAAGATTTGCCTAAAAGCTGTCATGAACTAGGAACACTTTGAGAAACAAAATGTTGATGCCTAAGTCCCATCCTTTTCTTCCCCAAATAACATTGTTCTGCTCCCAGGGCAGGTTTTCTTCATTTTTCCCTTTCTGGGGTGAGAAGAACAATATTCAAAGATGGGTGAGATAAATTAGTGAAATGACAGAAAATTAATGTCATTTAGACATACCTGATCCAGTGATGTTCCTGTGTCATGAGCAATTACTCTTAGTGGCTGGCTGCCGGTTCTTATCAGATGGACTCCAATTTTTTCTACAATCTCTCCAAAATGCTCTTGCAGCAACAAAGAACAGAGCTTAATTTCTGCTTGAGTCATGGTACTGGGGAGTCTGAGAGCTAGGGAAAAAACACCAAAACGGTACAATGGAAAGTCTTTCATGCTGGAAGCAGAGCTGCTGAGTGTAAATTCATGTATTCTTTCTGGAGGGCAATTTGACAATACATATCAAAAAGCCTTAAAAATCTTGCATATGTTTGAAACAACAATTTCTTTTTGGATATTGTATCCAAGGAAAGAATAAAAAGCTAATAATAATGAAGTCATTAGTTCTCTCTACAATACAGACTTACTGGAAGCAATCTGACGTCTAACAATAAATGATGGCATACCCATACAATGGCATACTATGCCAACAAAGTTATTTAGTACCATGTGTATTCGTGTAGAAGAAAATTATTCATAATAGGCTGGCGCTGTGGCTCATGCCTGCAATCCCAGCACTTTGGGAGGCCGAGGTGGGCGTATCACAAGGTCAGGAGTTTGAGAACAGCCTGGCCAACATAGTGAACCCCTTCTATACTAAAAATACAAAAAAAAATTTAGCTTGGCGTGGTGGCGGGCGCCTGTAATCCCAGCTACTTGGGAGGCTGAGGCAGGAGAATCGCTTGAAGTGAGGAGACGGAGGTTGCAGTGAGCTGAGATCGCGCCACTGCACTCCAACCCGGGCAACAGTGTGAGACTCTGTCTCCAAAAAAAAAAAAAACAAAAAAAAAGCAAAAAGAGGAAAATTATTCATAATATATTAAGTGACAGAAGCTGAAAAAATATAAAGATTCAATTATTGTAAAAAAAAGGAAAAATGTATGCATAGAAAAAGACTGTGCATCAAATATACCTCTATGGGATTATGCATGATTCTGATTTTCTTTAAAGATTGGGAGTAGATGATTTTGCAGTCTGTCACAGACCTTAGTTTCTACACTTCATTGCTTGGAAGAATTAAGGTCACTGTTCACAGCCCGGTGGAAGTGAGCAGGCAGTGTTATTCTTAGTTCATAAAGGAAATGATAATTTCGAAAAAGAAATTTAGGCGGTAAAGGACTGCTTCTCAACAGGGCGTGTCAAATAGGAGATGAGGTTACGTTGTTTGCAGGACAGCATTCAATTCTTAAACTTCTACTCCTTGACAAAGTTGACACAATCAGAAACGGACGTAGTTTATTATACGATTACTTCCTTATTACAAATTGCTACCAAACATTACTTATTTCTTCCAATTCGTAAGAAGCCTTAGTATCACCAGAGACCTATTTCGTCCATCCGCGTATCTTTGGAGAAGCATTCCCAGATCCCTTGCCATCCTCGGAAAGGACTTACAAGACGCTTGGCTCCTAGCTCTACACTCCCTTTACACAGGTTCCCATTCCGGATTTGGTCTCTTGGTCCAGTCAGTGCTGCCACGTTCAGACAGCATTTTCCACTAACCTCAGGATCAGCGCAGTTCAGAGGCACCAACCCCAATGCTGCTGAACTTCCCGCGACGGCTTCCTGCGGCTCCCGCTGGCCTTCTGAGCGGAAGTGGAACCCACCGCCCTTTCAAGGAAGAGGACGGCCACCGAAGAGGACGCGGAAAGGCAAAAAGCGCGTGCCGCTCTACGCTAGAGTTTCGGCTGCTTCCGGGGACGCTCTTTCTTTCTTCTCGCTGGAAGGCTGGAGGACCAGCGAGGGGCTGTTTGTGGAGCCGGCGGGCGGGAGGTTTGCCTCTCCTTCCTGCGCCTATTTGGTGCTGGGAGGCGGGCCGCAGGGTTGCTGTTGGCGCCGCCGCCTCTCTGGGTCTGGCCGACTCACGTGACCGACGCGGGCTCTGAAGCGGTGGGCCGCACCGAGGCGGCGGTGGCTACTGCAGCCCGGGAGGTAGCGGCCTGGCGAGGGACGGGCCGGCTGCCTTCTCGGACGGCCGCGGCGGAGGACAAAAATGGCGGAGGCTTCGGCGGCCGGGGCGGACTCGGGCGCCGCTGTAGCCGCCCACCGGTTTTTCTGCCACTTTTGCAAGGGCGAGGTCAGCCCCAAACTACCGGTAAGAGCCCCGTGTTCTCTGTACTTGGGAACCTCATAGATTCCTGGCTCTGATGTCCCGGAACTGGGTTTGGAGCTTTCCGCACACCCTTGACTCCCAGGACATCGGTCTGCCGAATACCTGCTGCCCACTTTTCCAGCCACTGGCCCTAGACCCTGGGCGTCACGGCTCCGGCCCCGTACCTCCTGCCCACCTCTTAATTCATCGTGGGCTGCTTCACCTGATCTCACCTCTTTACCTCTCCTGTCCTTATTATTATTATTTTTTTCTTAGCAAGTTTCCCTCTGATAACTCTCCCCTCAATTTTCTTGCATTCTTTTATACCTGGTCTTTTCCCCACGATGACCTCCCCCCATACTCCTTCCGCTGTGTCTTCTCACCTTCCTCTACGTTCTTTTCCACTTTTCACTCCCCCCGCCCCCGCCACCTCCCTTGTCAGTGAAGCAAAATAGCGGATTGCTGAGGATTGTCCCTATTCGGTTTTCTCTGGGGAAGGAAGGAAGCACAGAAAGGGGGTTGGATGGTATCTGTGAGGCGAAAAGGAGGATTTTGCTCTTCAGAGGTTTCCAGGGTCCTTGTGAAAGTGAAAATAGCAGCGTACTAATGACTTGCAGACAGCCTGCACTCCTATCACTATTGAAGGAAATGGCTTTAGGAAGAAGGCAGGACGTACTGTTTCAACTTCGTTTATTTTGGTTGTCATGTTGCTAGTGTCTTTAATACCATTGTTCCGCCCCCCACCCTGTCCCTTTCTTCACTTAAGAAAAAGAGCCGGGATAGAATGTTGGGGTTGCTACCTCCGACATGAAATTGGTTTTCACGAGTTTCTGCCAGACTGTTAGCTCCTTGAGAGGCAGTGCTGTGGTTGTGAAAAAAGCACTTTTGTAGGTCAGGCGCGGTGGCTCAGGTCTGTAATCCCAGTACTTTGGGAGGACGAGGCAGGAGGATTGCTTGAGGCCAGGAGTTTGAGACCAGCCTGGGCAACACAGTGAGACTCCTCTCTACAAAAAACAAACAACACTTACGCAGCTTATTAGCCAGCACAAGCATCACAAACCCAGAAGCTGTTTTGGGTTGGGTTGTAGCTACTACGAGGAGCTCCCCCAGGGTGAATGTCAGTCCTATCTTTGGCCAGCTGTCTTCATGGTTGTTCCATTCCTTAGAAGTGTCCAGGTTCAGCCTTACCATAGAGTGGCAACATAATGTATGTTTATATTTATGGTGTCTCAGATACAGTGTAGGAGGAAGCCTTCTAAAGTGAGTCTGTATATCTTATTTCTTGGAAACAAATGGAGTCCAGTGAGTAAGTGCTTAAAGGGTGTTTTATAGTCTTCTCTCTCAAAAGTTTTGTTTAAGGCATTATGATATATTCTGTCCTCTCTACTTGCCTCACCCCCAACATCGGAGTCATAGTTTCATATAAATGCTACTTAGCCTTTTTTTTTTTTTCTCCCTTTGAGACAGTCTCCGTCTATCACCCAGGAGCATGATTTTGGCTGACTGCAACCTCCACCAGCCGGGTTCAAGCGAGTCTCCTGCCTCAGCCTCCAGGTAGCTGGGACTATAGGCACGTGACCACCACACCCTGGCTAATTTTTGTATTTTTAGTAGAAACAGAGTTTCACCTTGTTGGCCAAGCTGGTCTCGAACCCTTGACCTCAAGTGATCCGCCCGACTCGGGCTTCCAAAGTGCTGAGATTACAGGCGTGAGCCACCACTCCCTGCCTAAATGCTAGTTTTGCTTGCTGATTTTGCTATGTGTTTATGGTTTTTTTTTTTTTCTTTTTTGGCTATATTTCAGTGCTGGGAAGAGCAGGTGCCTAGTTTTTTTCCAGCCAGCATCAGAGCCTGCAGAACTCTTTTACCATAGAGAGGGAGTCTGGAATTCAGCCAGTATGTGTGTAACCGACCAGGGGTATGTTGTTGAATGTGATGCCTTGTTGAATATTGCAACCTTAGCTTTTTTGATCTTTAAGTTGCTGTTCACTATTTTGCCTTTAAGAGTGAGAAGTTGGCCAGGCGTGGTGGCTCACGCCTGTAATCCCAACACTTTGGGAGTCCAAGGCAGGCAGATTGCTTGAGCTCAGGAGTTTGAGACTAGCCTGGGCAACATGGAGAAACCCCTTCTGTACCAAAAAATAAAAAAATCTGCCGTATGTGGTGGCATGCACCTGTAGTCCCAGCTATTCAGGAGGCTGAGGTAGGAGGATTGCCTGACCCCAGGAGGCGGAAGTTGCAATGAGCTGAGATTGCACCATTGCACTCCAGCCTGGGCAACAGAGTGAGACCCTGTCTCAAAAAAAAAAAAAAAAAAAAAAAAACAAGAGTGAGAAGACAGTCTAAATTTCCACAATTGATTATATATTTTCTTCTCACCTTTAAGTCCTTATTTCAAAGGGATATTTTTAAAGGCTGAGTAGGTGTTTTTCTAAGCCTTACTTAATGCCTGGAGAAGTTTCTTGATCTTTTTGGTCTGATATGTTATTTGTCATGTCTGATTTGTAAATTGAGGCCTAACACAATTGAATATAACCAGATTCTTTCTAAATGTATCCAAGGTTCTCTGCTGAGTGTCCTGGAGGTGATATGGAGCGATATGTGGTTCCTGACCTTAAGGATCTTACAGCTTTTGGGGAAAAGCAAGGCAAACATGGAAAAAGTAACAACATAAAGGGGTGAGGATGTGTGCTTTAGGATACAGAGAGGGGAATTTCATAGCATTGATGTGGCCAGTGGGATTTAAATTGAGTTTTGAGGGATAGGTACATTTCAGATTGAGAATTCCAAAGACTGTGAGGTAGCAAAAGGAAGGGGAGGGTGATGAAGAGGGGAGAAGCATTTAATAAATCATGTTTTTTTCACAACTAAAAGTTATATACTGTATTTTTTATAGTGTACAGCATGATTTGATATATGTATACACGGAATGGTTAAATCAAGCTATTTAACAAGCATTACCTCACATATTTATTTTTGTGTGGTGAGAACACTTAAAATCTACTGTCTTAGTAATTTTCAATTATACAGTATATTCTCTTTTTTTTTTTTTTTTTTTTTTTGAGACGGAGTCTTGCTCTGTCACCAGGCTGGAGTGCAGTGGTGCGGTCTCGGCTCACTGCAACCTCCGCCTCCTGGGTTCAAGCAATTCTCCTGCCTCAGCCTCCCGAGTAGTGGAGACTACAGGCACGTGCCACCATGCCCGGCTAATTTTTGTATTTTTAGTAGAGACAAGGTTTCACCATGTTGACCAGGATGGTCTCCATCTCGACCTCGTGATATGCCCACCTCGGCCTCCCAAGGTGGTGGGATTACAGGCGTGAGCCATTGCACCCAGCCTCCTTTTTTATTTTTAAATAGAGACAGAATTTATTCTGTCTTGTTGCCCAGGCTGTTCTTGAATTCATGGGCTTAATCTGTCCTCCCACTGTAGCCTCCTGAGTATTAGTAGATAGGTGGGTTCCACCATGCGCGGCTAATTTTTTTTTCTTTTTTGTAGAGATGGGATTTTGCCACGTTGCCCTGGCTGGTCTCAAATTCCTGGGCTTAAGCAATCTGCCTGCCTCAGCCTCCCAAAGTGCTGGGGTTACAGGCATGAGCCATTGCGGCTGACCTGATATGTGGTTTTTGTTTTTAATTCTGTTTATGTGATGAATCACATTTATTGATTTATGTATGTTGAACTAACCTTGTACCGCAGGAGTAAAGACTACTTGATTGTGGTGGATTCGCTTTTTAATTTTTTTGATTTTTTTTTTTTTTTTTTGAGACGGAGTCTCGCTCTGTCGCCCAGGCTGGAGTGCAGTGGCGCTATCTTGGCTCACTGCAAGCTCCGCCTCCCGGGTTCCCGCCATTCTCCTGCCTCAGCCTCCCGAGTAGCTGGGACTACAGGCACCTGCCACCACGCCTGGCTAATTTTTTGTATTATTAGTAGCGAAGGGGTTTCACCGTGTTAGCCAGGATGGTCTCAATCTCCTGACCGTGTGATCCGCCAGTCTCGGCCTCCCAAAATGCTGGGATTACAGGCGTGAGCCACTGCGCCCGGCCGCTATTTATTTATTTATTTATTTATTTATTTATTTGAGACGGAGTCTCGCTCTGTCGTCCAGGCTGGAGTGTAGTGGAACTAGCTCAGTTGACTGCAACCTCTGCCTTGTGGGTTCAGATGATTCTCGTGCCTCAGCCTCCCAGGTACCTGGGATTACAGGTTTGCACCACTAGACCTGGCTAATTTTTGTACTTTCAGTAGAGACGGGGTTTCCACATGTTGGCCGGGTTGGCCTTGAAATCCTGACCTCAAGTGATCTGCCTGACTTGGCCCCCCAAAGTGCTGAGATAACAGATGTGAGCCACCACACTGGCCTGCGTTAGCTTTTTAATGTGCTGCTGGTTTGGTTTGTTAGTATTTTATTTAGGATTTTTGTGTCTGTGTTCATCAGGGATATTGGCCTGGAGTTTTCTTTTTTCTTTTTTTTTTTTTTTTTTTTTTTTGAGACGGAGTCTCGCTCTGTCGCCCAGGCTGGAGTGCTGTGGCCAGATCTCAGCTCACTGCAAGCTCCGCCTCCCGGGTTCCCGCCATTCTCCTGCCTCAGCCTCCCGAGTAGCTGGGACTACAGGCGCCCGCCACCTTGCCCGGCTAGTTTTTTGTATTTTTTAGTAGAGACGGGGTTTCACCGTGTTAGCCAGGATGGTCTCGATCTCCTGACC